CTAGGCGGGGCTCTTCCCTGACATCGACATGTGCTACCAGAACGGGTGTGAGTGCAAGTCACACTAGACGATTTCAAGCCCGCGATGAAGGGTCGACGTGTGAGGGTGATCGTAGGAGGATTAGGGGGTGAGCCGTGGCGTGAGGGGGTGAGGGGCGGAGAGGGCGAGTGCGTGAGAGGGTCGGTGGGAAGGCTCCGCCTCCCTGGAGGAGGAGTGCTTGCAGTCACCTCTCGCTCGAGGAGGTGGTCGAGCTCGAGGCGGCGGCCCATCTCTTCGAGCACGCCTGTCCCGTTCATTCACGAGTCAATCAATCAGTCTACTGCACGGCTAATAGCAACTCGTTTCCCTCGAGCGCGCCTGTCCCGTTCACACCTCGCCACTCACATCACCACTCGGTCAACCACGGCCGCCCAGGCTCCGGTAGCGTGCCCCGCTCGTCGCGGTCCCGCAGCAAGTCGCCCACCTGTGTGGGTGGGTGGGTGTGGTGGTGGTGGTGGGGGAAGCGACGGACGGCAGAGCCGGAGCGGGGAGCGGCGCGCGGAGCGGGAGAGCACACACACACACGCGCGCGCCTTCTTCCCGACGGCGCCTTTGGCCATCGCTCCGTCGAGCTGCGGCTTGTGCACCACGGTGAGCTCCTCCTCTAAGAAGCGCGTGAAGTAGGTTTGCAGGTCGGAGCCTAGTACCAGAGAGGCGCGCGAGTCCAGCACACAGAGAGCTGCCGACGGGCGAGGTGGGGTGTGCAGGTCGGAGCCGCGGTAGTAGGCCATGATGTCTGCCCAGCCAGGCGGCTCCTTGAGCCTCCCGAGGTTGGGCTTGAGCCGGCCGCAGAGCGTGTTGAGGGCGGTCGACTTGCCGATGCCGTTGCAGCCGAGGATGCCGAGCACGTTGCCGGCGCGCGGGGTCGGCAGCCCGTGCAGCTTGAACGAGTTGAGCCCGTACTGGTGCGTGACGTTCGTCGTGAGGTTCGACGGCAGGTTGATGATTCGCAGCGCCTCGCCGGGGCAGCGCTTGGCGCGGTTGAGGCAGGCGAGGCACGAGTCCTCCATGATCGAGATTGGGAAGGCCGGTGGGCCTCCGACGGTGATGCACTCCTGGCCCGACGGGCACTTGGAGATCCGCTTCAGGAAGTCGTGCGCCGCCATGCCTATATCCACACAAAGACGCCAGCTCACGGTGTGCAGCCAATCGCAACACGACCCAACCTGGCCCTGCGGATGCCCGGCTTGCACTTCTCCTGATCGAGGAGCAGCATGCGCTTGCCCGGGCCGGACTCGTCTTGCTTCCGCGCGAGCCCTTTGGTCGGCATCGTGGAACCTATCAGAGCAACCGCGCTCGCGCTCTGCGGCGCTGCCGTGGCGAGGGAGAACGCGTGGCCGAGGCGAGGCGGGCGAGGTGGCGATTGGGGTGCTGGCGATTGGGGTGCTGGCGATTGGGGTGCTGGCGATTGGGGTGCTGGCGATTGGGTGGTCGTGCCTAGTGCCTCAAGCCGAGGAGTGATAGCTGGCGCCTGGCGACGAGGAGGATGTATTGCTGGGGAGAGCTGGCGTAGGGGTGCCAGCTTGGTTCCCATCCCGAAGAAAAAATGTATTATCCTAACGGTGTGGGGGCGCGGAGGGCTTGTTGGCGAGCCAAAATGGTGTTTTCCGAGGCGCTGCGCTAGGCTCAGAGCGAGTTCGCGCTGCGCTAGGCTCAGACGGCGAGTTCGCGCTGCGCTAGGCTCACAGATGCGAGTGCGCTGCGATAGAAGAAAAAACAGGGTCGAAACGACAACCGAAGGGAGGACTGTGTAGTGTAATCATGTGTCAAGAATCACGTGCTGCTGCTGCTGCTGCTACTGCTGCTGGCCTGCTGCTGCGCGGCGAGCGCCGTCGCCGAGGCGGGCCTCGGCGGAGAGCGCGATTATGCGGCCTTTTCCGCGACCCGCACAAAGAAGAGGCGCCCTCCGTCAGCCTCGACCTGCCACCGGCTCGCGTCGACCGACCCGGCCGCGTGCCACACCTCCACAGCCCAGTGCGCCAGCCCGCAGAAGTTGCCCTCCTCGATGCCCCATCCCGTGGGCCACGCGGCCAAAGCGGTGCCGAGAGGCGGCGGCGGCGCCGCGGTCGCCTCGAGACGCGCCGCGACGGCGTCAAAGGCGATCCGCCTCGCGCCCGTCGCGGCCGCCTCGGCCAGCAGCGCCTCCCCGGCCAGCCGCGGGAGGTCGCCCTCCGTCTCGAACCAGCACGACGAGCGGCCGTCGGCGCACGCCTCGTCCCACGCCTTGAGCTGGCGGACAAAGGCCGCCAAGCTCTTGAGGCCGGGCGAGGGCGCGGCGGGCGACGGGGCAAGGGAGCAGCCGGGCGAGGAGAGGTAGGAGGTGCTCGCCGGCGAGCGCTCCCGCGCCTGCGAAGGGGCAAGGCCTGAGGGCGGGCGGGCGGTCGGGCGGGCGGGCGCGGGTGGGGGGGATAAACGCTGCGCCGCCAAAGGAACCAGCGACACTGGCCGCGGCTCGTCGCCACGCGCCGGCTCGGAAGAGGGGCTGTCGGCGGCGAAGCAGAGTGGCACGCCTCGCCGCTCGAGCCGCCGACAGCCCCCCTCCTCGACGTGACGGCCGCTCCCGGAGCCGGCCGGTGCGCGCCTGACCCACGCCCCCTCTCGCACCCCTCCGACCCCCCCTGCGCGGCGCACCCGTCCGCTGTGCGCCGGCTCGAGCGCCTATTGCCAAATCGCGACGTTTGAGCGCAGCGCACGCATCCTCTGGGCGCCTGAGCGCGGCGGAATCTTGCCAGAATGTGGCCGCAGGAAGAGCCTCCGGCGGGCCTCCGGCGGACGCCTGGCGGCGTGGCGCTGCGCGCCGGCCTGCGGCCCAAAGCCCGAACGAGCGGTCAAGTTAACTTGACGCGCCGAATCCCTTGGTTGGCCCTCGCAGCTGTGATACAAAAGTGGGGACGCGCCTGGCGGCGCGCCCCCAAAAAGGGTGTGTGGCAGTCCGCGCCAGTCCGCGCCCTTGTCGTGCCAGTGTGCTGTGAGAGAGGCTTGTATCTTAAGAATTCTTAAAAAGCAAGAATTTCAAAACTCCAAAAACGGGCGCGTGGCACTAACCTGGCACCCTGGCACTAACACAGGTACACCACGGGAGCCACCTAAGCGGCTCCCGCGAGGGCGGCGAGGCACTTAGCTCCGTGCACTCGCCCGCCACATGCAAGCTCATTCACAATCTGCTCTCTGTACTCTCTCTTCTCTGCGATGGACCGTGTGAAGAACGACCGAGATACTGCTTCTGCAGCCCCAGCCAATTCTTGGTGGTCCAAGTCACCTCGTGACAAAGCGGGAGGGGATAGATGTTAAATAGACAGGGTTGATTGATTGATTGAAGGAAGCGAAATACAGTCTGGGTGGATATAGGGGCTTGGCACGCGCGGTGCAGCCTTTTGCCGCGTGGGCAGCCGCTTCACCTCTCCGTCGATGGCCTCCCACCGCATCGGCGCCCGCGTCGCGGGCGTCTCGCCAGAGCAGCTGTGCGCCATCATCGAGGCGCAGGCGGGCGCGAGCGACGCCGCGCTGCGCGTGGCGGAGGAGCACGCCACACGGCTCGTGGAGCAGCCCGAGTGGATCCTCTCCGAGGTCCTCCTCTCGCCGGACCTCGCCCCGCACATCCTCGCCCAGCTGCCGACCAAGGAGCACGCCGCCAAGGGGACGTGCCGCGCGTGGCGCCGCGGCTGGAAGGAGACGCTGGCGAAGCGCGAGAGGCCGCGCCTGCTCGTGATTGGCGGCAACGGCAGCGGCGGTGGCTACCTCAGCTCGATTGAGCAGTTCGACCCGGTGGAGGATGCATGGCAGGAGGAGGCTATGGAACCGATGCTGACGGCACGGCGGGGTCTCGGCAAGGCGGTGCTGGATGGCAAGCTGTACTCGGTTGGCGGCTACGTGGCGGGCTTTGCACCTGCCGACTTGGTGGACCGGTACGACTTGGCCACGAAATCGTGGGAGGCTACGCTGGCGGCTACGCTGGCGACGACGAGTTCCTCAACTCGCTGGAGCGGTATGGCTCGTCAACGAATGAGTGGGTGGAGGAGGCTGTGGCGCCGATGCCGACGGCACGAACGCATGTCCGCATGGAAAAGCTCGACGGCAAGTCTACGCGGCGGGCGGCGAGAGTGAGGACGGCGAAGCACCTTACAGCTTGGTGGAGCGGTACGACTTTGCTGCGAATGCGTGGGAAGCGGTGACGCCGATGACGACCGCACGGGTTACTCACGCCATGGCGGTTCTCGACGGCAGGCTGTACGCTGCGGGAGGCTAAACGACGACGAGGATGGCCACACCAGCTACCTCACCTCGGTGGAGCGGTATGACCCGGCTGCGAACGCGTGGGAGGCGGTGGCGCAGATGGCGGCGGGTCGGTGTAATTTCGCCATGGCGGTGCTCGAGGGCAAGCTGTACACGCTGTGGGCGGCTACAGCGGTGACCATCTCAGCTCGGTGGGGCGGTACGACCCGGCGTTGGATGCGTGGGAGGCTGTGGCGCCGATGGCGGTGCGGCGGATGGCTGTCGGCGTGGCGGTGCTCGACGGCAAGCTGTACGCTGTGGGCGGGTACGGCGAAAACGACGACCTCCTGAGCTTGGTGGAGCGATACGACCCGGCGACGAACGCGTGGGAGCCAGTGGCGACGACGGCGTCGGCTCGAGACGAGTTCGCGTTGGCGGTGCTCGACGGCAAGTTGTACGCTGTGGGCGGCCAATCCGATGTCGGCCTCCTCAGCTCAGTCGAGCGGTACGACCCGGCGCTGAACGCGTTGGAGGCGATGGCACCAATGGGGACGGGGCGGATCGGCAGCATTGCCCTGGTGTAAGTCGATTCAGCACATAGGCGCGCGCCGCGCGGGCAGGGCGGGGCGCTGAGAGCGGGGCGGCTGTGATCACAGTGAGGGCGTGAGGCGGTGCTGGAGGCGTACTCAGTGTAGCCGAGGGGTGCGCCCGACGCGCTATATGCGCGTGTGTGACGTTTTACACTACCGCCACCGCAAACGGTCAAACGCGGACAACGCAAAACGGTCAACGCGGGACCGCGACACGCGACTCTCCACAGGGGAGGCAGCACTGGCACGTGCCGCACAGTCTGTTTCTTTTTAACGTGCCAGTCTGCTGTGAGAGGGGCTTGTAAAGAAAGAAAGAAAGAAAACAGACAACCCAAGGGAGGGATGGGAGGACGGCACGCCGCCAGAGGGGCTTGTATTCGTAGAATTCTTTTTAAGATTTTTTCTTTGCCACCCGAGAGGCACCGCAACCATACCCCACTCCTCGCTCCGCCTAAGGTAAGGTAAGGTAAACGTCTCCACACACACAAAGTGGTGGGGCAAGGGGGGGCGACCCTCGCATCTCCACGCCCGGGACACGGGCAGGAGCCCCACGGCATTCAAAGTGCAAGCACCGGCCCGGTGCCGTGGGTGAGCAACCTGCACCCCACTCCTACTCCTATAACACAACCCCCACAGTGTGGTCGTCTACGTGTTCAGAAACACCAGCGAGGCGAGGGTGAAGGGGTAAGGGGCTGTGTGGGGCTATCTGTGACCATCTAGCCTGGGGGGTAGCAGGAGGGGGGGGCAGAGGGTAAGATATGGGTGAGGCCAGCTACAAGTCGGACGCCCTCCCGTCGTCGGAATAATCCTCGGAGCGGTCAGCGTCCTCGTCGTCGTCCTCGGTCTGCATCGCGTCGCCAGCCGTGAACCTGAACACGGCGTCGGCCGGCGCCGAGGCGCCGGCGGCCGTCATCAGGTGCATGACTATGCGGTCGCGGTATGCCGCATCGATCTCTCCGTGCTCGGCCAGCTCGTTCGCGAGCCAGTCCGAGGCGACGGTCGTCGCCACGGTCCCCTGGGGAACTGTGGCGTACACCTTGCTGGGGCCGCGTCGATACCCGTCGTCCCTCTCCGGGGGCAGCGAGTATTCGACCCCCATTTTGGACCCGGCCTGGCTGCGCGCCTGCGCAGCTGCAGACCGCAGCCCGGCCATCACGTACTGGATGTTCTCGCGCAGCTGCGCCCGCGGGGCCTCCGCGCGCTCGGCCTCGCTCGCGGCGCGCTCGCCAGCCTCCGTCGCCCGGCGCGCCTTCTGCCGGTCCTTCTTGGCCTTGCGTGCCGCGGCTCGAGCCGCGAGCTGCTCCTTGGTGGGCTCCTTCTTCTTCGGCGCGGTGCGCTCGATGTACGAGCGCTCCGCCGCCTGCACCGACTCGCGGTCGCCCGCGGCCTTCTCGTGCTTCAGGTCGACCTCGATGGTCGCGTAGCCAGGCCTTATCACCCTGACACAAGACGCACCGAACAGCCTTGCGACACTCACCGCGTCCTCCAGTTGCGCGCGATCGGAGCTATTCCAGCGTCCGCTGCGCATCCCCGGCGGCACGACGGTGGCCGGCGCTTGCGCGCCAGCCCCGTCCGCCGCCGGGTCCGCGGCCGCGGTCCCTGTCATAGCTGTGTATCGCGCGCCTTGCGGGGGGGGCGCGGAAAAGAGGAACCTCTTAGCGCCATCGCCACGGTGCTGCATGCAGCGCCGGGCGACGACGGCTTACCGCCTCCCGGTCCCCCTCGGCACACCTCCGCTGCTCAATGTTTGACGGCTCGAACCCGTGAAGCTTCCCCGTGCGCGGGTTACCCCGCACACGGGTCAGCCTGCCAGCCACGTATCCACGCAAGCGTGGTCCGCGTGCATGGCATACAGGCGTCCGCCAGACAGCGCAGAGGCTAGCTACGCGCGCCATGGAGAACGGCGGGCACGGTACAGGTAGGAATCCTACAGCCAATGGTACTCTCGCTTGCGCAGATCACTCAACAATGTCTACCTCGGCCGCTTCGGCCGCTTCGGTGGAGCTCGGCGAGCCGCTGCGCGAGCCACTCCCGTCCCTTTCCTTGCTTCTCTCCATCGACGACCTCGCCGAGTCGATCGCGGCGCCGTGCGGCCTCGCCACGCTCACGGCGCTCGCCGGAGCCTCGCGCTCAGCCAGGGCGGTCTCTCGGCGACTGATCCGAAACTCCGAGTGGGCCGTCACCCACGCCGGCTCTCTCGACAGCGCAGCATGGATTTGCGCCCACCGCCAGCCCGAGCAACGTCTACTGCCGCTCGGATCCGCTCCCGCAGCCTCACCGTGGGCGTGCAGCGGCATCGCCTGCGCCGCCGTCTCTGGCGCATGGGTCGCCTCAGGCGGCGGTGACCTTCTCTGCCGCGTGTGGAGGCGCGGCTCGCGGCTGGGCGAGCCGCTCGCTCTCCAGCACTCGGATGAGGTGTCGTGCCTGGCGCTCGACGGCAGCCGGCTCGCCAGCGGTTGCCGAGACGGCACTATTCGCCTATTCGATTTGTCGGTAGCAGAGACGGCGGCGGAGGCGGCAGCCGGAGCCACCTTGGCCCATCGGCACTCGACCGGAGAAGACGACGGTGCGGCGGTGCTGTGCCTCGTCTTTCCGCGGGCCGGCTCCCTCCTCACCGGCGGGGCGGACCGCCGCCTCCGCCTCTGGAAGACAGACAGCGGGCTGGCTGCGGCCGGGGCTGTGGCGGTCGAGGCGGCCACTCCCGCCCTCGCGGCGGCGGACGGGCTCGTCGTGAGCCCCGCGGCGGACCACTCCCTCGAGCTGCGTGATGCGGACTCGCTCGCCTTCCGAGGCGCTCTCGTCGGCCACGCGCGGCCCGTGCTCGCCGTCGCGATGGCCCCCGGCCGTGTGGTGAGCGGCGGCGGCGACGGCCGCCTCTGCGTGTGGGCGCTCCGCGCGTGCTGCGGTGAGGCGGGCGTGGCGGGGGAGTGCCTGTACGAGCTCACCTCGGGGCGAGGCCGCGTGCCCGTGCTCGCGCTCGAGGGCGACCTCCTCCTCGCGGCCGGCGGCGGCACCGAGGGCGTCTGCGTTTGGGACCTCGCCGGC